AAAATAGATTTAAATGGAAATGAACAATTTTCAAAGGGTAAGTTTCCTCACAATTTTGTGTCTGTAAACTATAAAAAGTTGGTATGTACTGGAGGCATATTTCGTTTCCTTTACTTCACTGTCCCAGCCAAAATAGCATATATTCAGCTGAAATATAATAAAAATAATGCTAAATTTTGACTCTTAAATATCTAGATTCGGATCCAGTCTTGGCTGCCACTTAGGAGTTTGTGTGACTTTTCGCGAGCTGCCAGCCTGTTTTCTCAACTGTAAAATGGGCTGAACACTACACTCCCGCCAGGTACTGCTTAAGAGATTCTAAAGGGTAGCAGATGCGAGCGCTCTGCCCCCAGACGGGGCCTGGTGCTGTCACGTGCTGGGCTCTTCCCTGGCTTACCTGGTGCCCAAAAGTAGGTCTTGAGGTATACGTTACTTGCACCTTTCTAAACCAGGCTGTCTGCAGCCATGTGCCTTCCGTGGGTGTTGGCACGCTTTTTGATCTGACATTTAAACAGTAGCGTCCTAGAGTGTATGCAGGGAACTTGACGCCTGCAGAAGGGGAGCGACCCAAATCCTGTGATGAAGCAAAGGAAAGAAGGACACGAGCTTCCTTCTGAAAGGGTTTTGTTTATGAAACTCCTTGTGGCATTTTTACTTTTTCCATGAAAAACTCTTTGTCCTTTTGTCTTCTGCCACTGGCCCCGGTTATGGACGGGGCGTTGATGTGAACACAGTTTCCAAATTGGAAATTAATGAGGTGTTTCATCCAGAGCAACCTTCCTCCCGCACTCTCAGGCATGCTGCCCTGGGAACCCCACCCCCACCCCCTTGTGGGTCTTTGCCCTCCTGCCGCCCTTGTCTACACGGCAGCGACGGGCACCCTTGCTTCTCTGCTACCTCCCCAGTGCTTTCCTGGCTTCAGAATTTTTTAAATCTGTGTATCAGGTATGATTCCCACAGTCTCTGGATCGTGTCCAAGCAGGATGGGTTCTGCTTGCCTGAGGCCACTGTCACTGGGCCAGAAAGTTCTTGATGGCTCTTCAGAGCTTGCACTTCAGCCCTTTGTATATTCAGAAAGGAGGCCGGTGCACATTTCCTGGGATGCGGGGATGAAGGGGTGGGGGTGCTCAAGTAAGGTGAGAGCACTCCAGGAAAGTTCTCATCAGCGCCGTAGGCTTGGCCTTGGTGGGGCTCGCGTGTGCTGGTAGGAAGGCTGCCTATCACCAGCGGATAAGGATCGATCTGAGGAGCAGAGGTGCCCATCAGGGGAAAGGTGGCACACACTGAGATAATGCGGCTGGTGTGTGTGGTTCTCGAGCTTTGGTGAGGAGTGGTAGACTTGTGATTTTGCCAAGTCACAGATAATAAATTTTAAGAACTCTTGCGGATGAAAAGCGGCCTCTAGTCAGCGCTCAGCACTTTCATCAGAGGGTTCTGAGGGAGAAGCAAAGCTCTGTTTAGAGCGAGGACATAATGGGCTTGGGGTTGGCAGGGTGTCTCAGACCCTTGTGGAACTTACTGCAAAGTTTTGTACGTAAATATTTCAAAGGAGAGGACCCGGAGCTTTCATTAGATTTTTAAAGCAGTTCTTGGGGCGCCTGGGTGGCTCAGTCGGTTGAGCGTCCGACTTCAGCTCAGGTCATGATCTCACAGCTCATGAGTTCAAGCCCCACGTCGGGTTCTATGCTGACAGCTTTGGAGCCTGGCGCCTGCTTCTGATTCTGTCTCCCTCTCTCTCTGCCCCTAACCCACTGGCATTCTGTCTCTGTCTCTCTCAAAAATAAAAAGCATTTAAAAAAAAAAAAAATTAAAGCCGTTCTTGACCCACCAGTTTGCATGAAAATAGACACCCAGTCAGGGTGGTTTGAGTCCCCGTGACCTGTGTGTGGTAGTCACCCATATGAGCACACTGTGGTTTCCTGTGTCCTCTAGGAAAAAGGGACCCAGACCCCAGAAGGCCAGATGTCCTATGACTTGAATGCCTGAGGGATTGTAAGGTGTGTGAAAGAGAGGTGTGGAATGGAATGGAAGGGAAAGTTTCCCCAAATGTGCAAAAGACAGACTGTCAAACAAAATGTTGACACATAGAACGAGGAGGATTGACTGGGTTTGGAGTGAAATGGAGAAAAGGAAACAAGCTGAATCTCCAGGGGAAATCTTTGTGACCACAAGAATGAATAGGTCACGGCCCTGTCATTCTAGAGGAGGCTGGAGCAACTCCATTAATGGGGAATTTTCAGGAAATGTGGATGTAATAGAAGGACAAGCATGGGCTGACCTTGAAAGGGGCTCTTCTGGAGACCTGCACACACTCCTTCCCCACCGGGACTGTTGGACGATACCTGGCATTGGCTCTTCCTTTTCTCTTGCATTAGGCACACTCAGGACACCTCCTGAGGGCCAAGTTCAGGGCCTACTTGCTGCAGCAGAAGAGCCATGAGCACAGTATTTGAATCACTTACATTTTTGGTTAGGAGTGGTTCTCAGAATAATCCAGAAAGTGTAGTTTGAGGATTTTTTTTTTTTTTAAGAAAATTAAAGTCTGATATTACAGGTCCAAGATTCTATGATAAGGCTCTTTGCACTGAGTCAAAGGAAAATGAGAATAGTTGCTGTCATTCTCTTCCTGTGCTTCTTGGCTGCCATTTTAAGAGTGTTGGTTCTTCCTTCGGGGGAGGGTTAGGGTATCAGAGGGGTCTCTCTAGCCTTCCAGGGTAGTACCTGTGTTCCACAGAGGCTTTGTGGTGTGTACAGCCCCCCTGGGATAGGCTCTCTCCTTTCCCCCTGGGAACACCTGTGGATCCTTCAAATGGCCTTTTTTCAGGAAGCGTATCTCTGAGGTTGTGAACAGAGTGGTCTGGCTGATGAACAGGAAGGCAGAGGGGATGTTTGCAAGCCCAGGCTGAGAGCTTCCGCTACTGATTGGAGCTCCCGTTTCCCAAGCCCCCTCTGCCTCTCAGTACATCTGGCCTTTCCTTGCTCGTGAATCCATCCCCCACAGTATCTATCTCAGAGCTTTTCTGCTTCCTTCGTGCCCCTGAGCAGCTCCCCCCAACCCTCCCTCATCCTTGGCTAGCTGATGTGAATGCTGTCACTTCCCCACTTCTTCCCCCCAGATTTGCCTCCCTCACCTCCCCTTTCCTTCCTGCCTCCTCTCCAGGCCACTCTTCCTCTCTCAGCGATGGGTTGCCTCCGCTCGGCCCGGGGTCCGTTCCTTTTGTACCGGCTTCTTCCCCTCGCCCCATAAACACAGCCTAGTCCTCCGTCCTGCCAGCCTCCTGGAAGCCGTCATCCACTTGCATTGCCTCCACCACAGCTGTGCTCCTGTCCTTAACCCAAAGCTTCCCGAAGCTTCTTCACCTCATGACACACAGAGGAGATGTTGCCGTTTGAATGGCACAAGGGCCGTGGGCACCAGGCTGCTGGAAAGCGGGCTCTGGCTGCCCTGAGGGTGGTTCCTCCCTGACAGCTTGGCGGTTCCACTCTGCCCCCCACCCCACCCCATACCTTTCCCCCCGAAAAGCCTTCCTAAAGATCACTGGTAAGCAAATACTAAACACAAAGACATTTTCTTTGTTTTCATCTTCCTTAACATCCAAGTGGCATTTGACACTCGCTGGTGGTTAAGAGCTCAGACTCTGGCGGTGCTGCTGTGGCTCAGTTCCTGGCTGGGCCTTTTCCAGCTTATGACCTCGAAAGGTTACTTAATGTGTCTGTGCCTCGGTGTCATTCTGCAAATGAGGATAATAAAACCTACATCAGGGGGTCGCCGTGTGAGTTAAATGGCTTCTCTGGGGGAAGCGTCTTGTCTCGCTGTAAGTGCTATATAAGTGTCTGTTGGGGTTTTTGAGTACCTCTTTGCTAAAGCCCCTTTCTTCTAACATCGGACCCTCCTGATTTTTTTCCTATGTCTTTGAGCTCTCTTGCTTTTTGGTTTCATTCTCCACATTGTCTTTTTCCCCCCAGAAATGGAGAAGGTAGTACAGAATGCAGCCTTGACTCTCATTTGCCCTTTCTTTCTTGAACCTTCCCACCAACGCCGCCAGCTCCCCACCTGTAGACCAGTCATCTCCCCAGGCCCCAGACCCACACCCCGACTGCCTGCTACATTGCCCACCGTCTGGATCTCCTCCCTGCACCTCAGATTCCCAAAAATAGTTGAACGTTTCTTTTATTTTTATTTTAAAAGCAATAAATGGCTCATCGTAGAGGACACAAGCAAATTTAAAGGATACGATACAAGCCAACGGTAATCCCACTGCAACAAACACCAGCACTAAACCTGGGCGTGTCTTTGAGCTCAGTGGGTCTCAGCCCGGGCCGAGTCTCCCCAGGGCATCGAAGTTTGGCAATGTCTGGAGATATTTGTGGTTGTCAGCTTTGGGTTGCAGGAGGGGCTACTGGCATCTATCAGATAGAGCCCGAGGATATCACCAGACATTCTACGGTGTACAGGATAGGCCCCCACAACAAAGAATTGGTCCACTCAGTAGTGCTGAGGTTGAGAAACCCCATTCTGGACTTTGTCTTGACATAAATGCTCCAAATAGAGTAAGTTGGAATTACTTTTCTCTTTCTACCTCCACCCTGCTTGTCCGCCTCTGTTCTCATCTGTCACATATTTGGCATCTACCCCCAGGCCTTCTCCCCCATCCAGTTTTGGTATTGATGACCACTCACCCCAACTAAGGAAGGGGCACTCCAGCAGGCCCTCCACCTTGAGTCCCCTCCTGCTTGGCCTGGTCTGGCCACCCATGTGCTTGCAGACCTTCTGTTGGCCTCCGCTGCCTGTCCACTGTCCACGCCTCAGAGTCTGAGCTCCCCGCGGGCAGGAGCTTCCACACTGATCGACCTTCATGCCTAGCTGGAACCTAATGCCATCCTGAGCACCGAGTCGGTGCTTGGCAAAGCTCTGTAGAATGTGTTTGGATGAATGGTTGCATGAAAGAAGAACCTGAAATAAATCCTCCTCATGATTCCCTCACAATCTGTCTTTGCAGATCCTTGGTGAATGGTTTGGTCGGACCATCATTCGCTCCTGCACCAAGCTGAGCTACGAGCACGCACAGAGCATGATTGAAAGCCCGACTAAGAAAATCCCTGAGAAGGAGCTGCCCCCCATCTCCCCGGAGCACACCAGCGAGGAGGTACACCAGGCCGTCTTGAATCTCCACGGAATTGCAAAGGAGTTACGCAAACAGCGGTTTGTGGACGGCGCGCTGCGTTTGGATCAAGTCAGTCACTTTTTTTTTTTTTTTTTTTTTTTTTTCTTTCGGTGCAACCAACAGATTTGACTTGTGCTTGAGCCCAGTGTGCGTAAGATTCAGCATGGCAGTCTTGGGATCTTCCCTCCTTTTTCCCCAGTCACGGCCCTAAAACGTTGTTCTCTGAGGCAGGCAGGAACTAACTCTCACCCGCTCTCCAAACTCCACAGACACACGAGGCCCACTGACATGAGCTAAGGCAAAAGGGTCGTGTCTGTGTGGGCGGCCCTGTGACCAGAACTCCCAGCTGGTCCTTCCTGGTAGGCCTGTAGCCCGTATTTGAGCCTTACCTCAATTCCTACCTCAAATCCCTCTGAATGGAGGTGAGAACAGGAAACATGGAAGTTTAGAAGGTAGTTGACCAGTATCGGATCATGAGGCTTAGAAAAAAAGGCATTTCTTCTTATCCCTTGTCTTCCAAAAAGAGTTCTATGTTTATAATTCTGGATTCGTATTTGATTTTTTTTTTTTTAACGTTTATTTATTTTTGAGACAGAGAGAGACAGAGCATGAACGGGGGAGGGTCAGAGAGAGAGGGAGACACAGAATCTGAAACAGGCTCCAGGCTCTGAGCGGTCAGCACAGAGCCCGACGCGGGGCTCGAACTCACGGAGTGTGAGATCGTGACCTGAGCCGAAGTCGGCCGCCCAACCGACTGAGCCACCCAGGCGCCCCCTGGATTCGTATTTGAAGAAGCAGAGAGCTGAGGAGACTGTGGAACGTTGACCGCTGGAGAAAGTGACGGCCCAGAATGGTATGATTGCTCTTTGAGTACCACAGCCATGCCGGTGGCCCTCCGGGACTTCGGCAGCTGTCACTCAAACCTGGTCACATTTCCAAGTCCGTTTCCACGCGCAGCAACTCTTAAGACTTGGGAATTCTTTCCTCAATAGTTGTCGGTACATTATAGAGTCGAGTCCGTGATCCGTGTATCGTGCGATTTTTTTTCTTATATTTCTTACCCAAACCCCCAAGAACTGCCCACCTTGCCTGGTCACTGTGCTTGGGAAGTTTCTGGGTGTATGAAAAAAGAGTTGAGCCTCAGGATTGGCTGATGGAGAGGACTGGCAAGAGCGCAGCCTCACAGAGACGTCTTTCTCTGAGTGTCCCAGCTTAGAGAGATCTCAAAAGCCTTTCTTTTTTTTAAAAAAATTTTTTTTTCAATGTTTATTTATTTTTGGGACAGAGAGAGACAGAGCATGAACGGGGGAGGGGCAGAGAGAGAGGCAGACACAGAATCGGAAACAGGCTCCAGGCTCTGAGCCATCAGCCCAGAGCCCGACGCGGGGCTCGAACTCACGGACCGCGAGATCGTGACCTGGCTGAAGTTGGACGCTTAACCGACTGTGCCACCCAGGCGCCCCTCAAAAGCCTTTCTAATTGAAGGCTCCATTTCATCCTACCCTTTGTGATAAGCATCACTAATGCTTCTCAGCGGGCATTACGAAGAGTTGCTGCCCTGGGCCTAGGGTTAAGTTAGCAGCGTTTGGGGCAAGCGGATAGTCTGTTGTGCCCGAGCTTGAGGGACCTTCCGGAGCTCTCATGCTCCCCCTCCCCAACCTGGGCTCAGGCAGCCTGAGCAGACCTGTCTGTTCACAAATGCTGATGGGCAGACCGTAGTCGGAGTGGCCGCCAAAACAGACCGCAAAGCCAGTAGAAGAGGCACCAGAGGCACAGGAGATGACGGAATATCTCTTTCCTTTCGTTCAGTGAAATTCTTTGTGGGGGTGTGAACACACCCCAGTTCTCACTCACCAGTGGCTGCCTGGTTGTCAAATCCAAGGATGCTTTTCAGTTCTTGCTTCCTAGACTTCTGTTCTGCATTTGGCCCTTTGAAGCTCACCTCCTGGTTCTCTGCTCCCCTTTGTACATCTCCGTTAGTGTCCTGCTGGTCGCTTTGCGGAAGCCTCTTCCTCTCCTGTCCCCTACAGGGTTCACATTCCCTAGGATGTACCTCACCCTCTATTTTTTCTCTGTCCACACTCCCTTCCTGAATGAATGCTCTACTCTTATGATTCTAACTATTGACTGGTTGCTGATGATGCCAAAATCCGTCTCTCTGGCCCTGCCCTCCTTCCCAAGCTCTAGACAGGCTTCTCCACCTGCCTCTCCACCTGCCTTGAACTTTTCACCTGGATGTCCCGTGGTCACATCTGCCAGTGTGCCTCATTTCTTCTGCAGGACCCAGTGATCAGTACCCACGGCATGCTGCACAGGCTGGCTAACGCTCCCTCCTTCCTCTGTGCCCCACCCCTTCCAGGGCCCTCGTGTGTTTCAGGAGCATTCCTAATTACTCCCAAACCTGACTGTGCCGGGTTTGTGTGTGTTGCTGTAATTATGCAGTCTAACTGACCAAATAAGAGCATAAAAAAAAGCTTTTGTTTCTGAGAACTAAAATTGTTTGAAAAGATTCAATGAGGATAAATCTTTAAAAACTCTGCTGTTTGGGTATGACAACTATAAAAGAGTAGGGGGTTGGGGCCCCTGGGTGACTCAGTCGGTTAAGTGTCCGACTTCAGCTCTGGTCATGATCTCGCGGTTCGTGAGTTCAAGCCCCATGTCAAGCTCTGTGCTGACAGCTCAGAGCCTGGAGCCTGCTTCCGATTCTGTGTCTCCCTCTCTCGCTGTCCCTCCCCTGCTCACGCTCTCTCTCTCTCTCTCTCAAAAATAAAAACGTTAAAAAAAATTTTATAAAAGAGTAGGGGGAAAAATCATAAAATTCAGGAAGAATTCTGTACTCAGATGGCTTTACAGAAGTCTAAGTTCTCCCTCTCTTTTAAAGAAACAAAAACTATAAATTATAGACGATGAATTATGAGTGTAATTTATTCAGAAAAAATAGATATCTAATCGGCATCCTCTTTTAAAGGGCTCTGTAGGGGCGCCTGGGTGGCTCGGTCGGTTGAGCGTCCGACTTCAGCTCAGGTCACGATCTCGCGGTCCGTGAGTTCGAGCCCCACGTCAGGCTCTGGGCTGATGGCTCGGAGCCTGGAGCCTGCTTCTGATTCTGTGTCTCCCTCTCTCTCTGCCCCTCCCCCATTCATGCTCTGTCTCTCTCTCTGTCTCAAAAATAAATAAACGTTAAAAAAAATTTTTTTTTAAAATTAAAAAATAAAGGGCTCTGTATTTTTAAAAAACGAGTGAATGCATATCTATATAAATTAAGTTAAAACAAGGGGGCGCCTGGCCGGCTCAGTTGCTAGAGCGTGCAACTCTTGATCACAGAGTCCTGAGTTCAAGCCCCCTGTTGGGCATGGAGCCTATTTAAAAATACCTTTTTTAGTTAAAGACAAGAATAAATTCAGTTGGAATAAATGTTTAGTTATAGATAGATAGATAGATAATCTTCTGTATGATTCCCGTCTTTAGCCAGCTCCTAGAATAACTTCCCAACTACTGCCTCAAGCACATCAAATGAGAGGGTTTCTGTTACAACATTTTAGAGATCTTACCCTATCAGATTGTTACAAAGTTTGATTGGATTAAGTATATGAAATACTCTATAACTATGAAAATATAAAGGATCAGTTAGGCGATGTCAGCTCACATTGGGATCCTAGGGGTGTGGTAGTCAAGGTAGAAGAATGATCACAGATTACTGATTGATACTGACTGATCTGTTGGCATATCTTAGAATCAGAATTTTATTGCTGAAAATAACCTTAGACATCTGCATCTCATTGGCCCTCACAGTTTGTAAATTAGAAAGCTGATGCCCCCTCAAAGGTTATATGCAAGTTGCTTATATGCAAGCTGACTCTTTGTTCCGTTTTCCTCCACTTAAACCATGCTGACTTAAGAGAGAAAAGCTTTCCTTCAAAGTAAGAAAAGAAAAAAAAAAAAACCCTCAAAAGTCCTAATTAGGTTCCAGTTAATTAAGGTTTGAAAATAATGGATGTACATCCTTGGAGTTGATTCCTTGGTTCCCCAGAAAACAAGTTGTGTGGACCACAGCTTTAGAAGGAGGAGCACATCAATCTCCCTCAGCAAGGGACACTGGCGAGATCCTTTATAAATCAGCTAAATGGCCCTATTCAGAAGTCACCGCATTTGTTCTCCGGTGCCTGCTGCCTGCATTTGCCCTCGCGAAAACCCATTTTTCCTCAGTGCTTTTGGCGTGGCCTGCTGCTTGGAGTTTCTCTCTGATGCTTTGCTTGCCTCGTTTTACCATGTCCACATTTTTGGTGGCAGTCCTAAAAAAATACGCCCTTTTGCACCAGCCTCAATGAGAGAGGCTCTGCGAGCGGGCCTGCCGTCGTGTCACACAGTATGCCCTCGAATGCAGAATAAATCTGCTAAAGCAGAAGTTACACCTTTGTAAAAAATCAGTTCATCGTGATGACCTTCCGAACAAGTGAGGTGGAGGGTACTCGGGTAGCGCCTGTTTGTCCGTCAGGGACAGACTGGTTCGGAGGCTGTGAGAGCCACAGCAGCGCAGGACTGCTTGAGCACTGGGTGCCTGCAGTCAGCCACTCGGGCCGGAGCTGCCTCACCCACACCTGAGACAGTCTGGGCTGGCGCCAGCTCCCGGACAACCACCCGCTAAAGTCTTGTCCGCTTCCCCGAGTGTGCTGTCAAATGTTAGCAAGCTCTGTACGTGCTGCGGTGTGCAACAGATTGGGAAGCACTGCCTTAGAGGTCGGATTACTTGCCTCAAATGTCTCTTTTACCTAGAGCTCGAACCTGGTTCTAAAGAGGTTCTAGCTCAGTGAAGTGACATTCCTGTGTTTTCACTGCCCCAAAAGCAAATGCAGGTGCCAGATGCATTTTTTTTTTTTTTTT